CCAGGTTTTGCCCCATACGATGAGGATTCATGAATGGTCGCCGTTCCACGAGAGATTCGGGCGTAGACCCTCTGCTGGTGAGTCATCTCGTCTTCCCCTTGGTCACGTTGCCCTTTATTCTGTATTTCCCCCCTCCTATTTCCTCTTTAGTTTAAGCTTCTCTCGTCGGTAGGTCGGAGGGCCACGAGGAGGGCGAGGGCTCCTATACCTGCTTTCCGTCAGTCGAGTTTCTCGATCGGACCTGCATCGATTGCGGCTGCAAGTTAGAGCGTTCAAGACGCTGCTACTTTACAAACTACGACCCCTCTCGGACTCGGCCGTCGGGGGCTTGCTCGTCAGGCGGAAGCTCTGATTCCCGTAGTTCATTTGGTGGGCGAATCGTCTCAAGACGATGGTGAAGAAGCTCCATTAAAGAGGCGGAGAATAAGGGCTGAAGGGGTACCCAGGACTGAGGGGTGATCCCGTGTTGGCAGTTTTTGAGCCTGGTAGTGGTGCTAATTTAGACGAGGAGACCGTATCCCCCTCGGGCGTGGAGGTGGTGCCCGTATTTGGCGTGGAGGAGTCTACCATGGTAGGGGCAGAGTTCGAGGGTCGCTGCGATCATTCCGAGTGGTCCATCAACTTCACAACAGGCCTATGCTCCCTCTTCAGCCAGCAAGAGGGAAAAGGGAGTTGTTATAGATGACTATGAATCCGGTTCAAATATTGACCCTAAGGACATAAGCATGTTTGAGGCGGGGTTCACTCGGGTTGAGGCGGGAACAGATAGTTCCTCCCGCGTGATCGAGATTTCTTCGGATTGCGATTTGCTGGAGGACACGGTGAGCCTGGTGCCCCAATTTGTCCTTCTTTGTTCCGCCACTGAAAGCAGGGCCCTTCAGGAGATCAGCGATGCTGGCCTGTCACGGGGCGTAGCCGAAATGGCTTTGAGGGTGACTTCTTTATTGCTTTCTTCGTTTTACGTCTTCCACTTTTGCTGACTTTTTCTTTACAATCTCTTTTCTTTCTTCAGGCTTTCATTTTTTAGACTGAGAGTATCCGCCGCGAGGAGAGTCAGGCTGCCGTTTTTCAGAAAATGGTTTCAAAGTATCGTCGATTCCGTGACAAGTGTCGTGAGATGCATGCACGACTCAAGGTGGGTGGCAATTCACAGTCCCTTAGGGAGGATTTGGAGTGGAAAGACGAGGACCTGATGCGGTCCATTGGAAGATGCAGCGAACTCGAGGGGCATCTTAAGGCTAAAGAAGAAGAGCTCGAGGTGGGCAAAGGGGTTGCGGCTGAGTGTGTTGATCTTCAGGCGAAGGTGGTGGCCCTGCAAGCGGAGATTGAGCAGAGTGTCACCAGAGTCGCCGGTCTAAGTATTGAATTGGCGAAGAAGGTGACCGAGTTGGAAAGGGAGGCAACCGAGCTGGAAAGGGCTGAGGGAGCCCGAGTAGCAGCCTTAGTGAGGGCTGCAGCACTGGAAGATTCTATCCGTGTTCTCAAGTCTGAACGAGCAACTGAGATGGAAATGACTGCTCTGAGGGAGGCGCGACTTGATGAGCGGATTGGTGGGCTTGAGGGAGATGTCTTGAGCCTGGGTGATCAAATTGCTACTCTCGAGGCTAAGGGGGCGCGATTGTTGGCTTTGAATCCTTCTCCTGCGTCCGCCTCTGTTGACGTTCCTCACCTTTTGTACGAGATATGGATCCACGCTGAGGCTCATCGGGATATATATAAGGGCTTGTTGGTAGCGGGGAATGTTCCTGAAGCCGCTTTCGAAGAAGTCCGTGTTAAAGCGCGTGAGGCCCGTCTTGCCTGCGGCTATGACCCCGCGACAGAGGAGGCCGGTGAAGGCGATGAGGCCGAGGACGGGCTTACCTTTGATGATGAACATTCTGATGGAGAGGGTGACGGTGGTGGTGAAGCCGCTGAGCCAAGCGGGGAGAGAGATGATGGCGTGGATGGGGATAATGCAGAGTGAAGCTTTTGTACTTAATTTTTCCTCCTGCACTTTAGTTTTTCAGTACTCAGTTAGTTGGGTGGGCCCCCCTTTTGTCCCTATGTAAGATGTTAATTTTCCTTTGAATGGAACAGTTGATTCGTCCTTGATTGTACGTCTTTGGCCTTTCCTTCTCTTTTCCTTTCGAATTTCTTGGATCTTCTTGCAGTAAGTCCCTGACTTTTGGTAGTTAATTCGAGCGGTATCGAATGTAGCTTATTAATTCGAGCGACGCCGAATTTGACTTGTTAACTCGAGCGGGGTCGAATTTGTCTTGCTAATTCGAGCGAGGTCGAATTTGACTTGTTAACTTGAGCAAGGTCGAATTTGTCTTGCTAATTCGAGCGAGGTCGAATTTGACTTGTTAATTCAAGCGAGGTCGAATTTGTCTTGCTAATTCGAGCGAGGTCGAATTTTGACTTGCTAATTCGAGCGAGGTCGAACTTAGACTTGTTAATTCGAGCGAGGTCGAATTTGTCTTGCTAATTCGAGTGGGATCGAATTTTGACTTGCCAATTCGAGCGAGGTCGAATTTAGACTTGTTAATTCGAGCGTCTTGCAAACTCGAGCGAGGTCAAATTTTGACTTGCCAATTCGAGCGAGGTTGAATTTATACTTGTTAATTCGAGCGAGGTCGAATTTAACTTGCTAATTCGAGCGGGGTCAAATTTTGACTTGCCAATTCAAGCGAGTTCGAATTTAGATTTGTTAATTCGAGCGAGGTCGAATTTTAACTTGTTAATTCGAGCGAGGCCGAATGTGTCTTGTTGTAAATTCGAGCGAGGTTGAACGTAGACGTGTTAATTAGAGCGAGGTTGAGTTAACAAGTGTTGCCCTAGCTGTTGTGCGAGCTGCACCTCTGCCCCTACCACGGCCTCTACCGCGACCTCGGCATCTCGCGGTCCTGACCGGTGGTACTGGTGGCTGCCCGTCTTGCCCGGTAGCACGTGTCCTCACCATTTGTGAGAGAATAGAATAACAAAAGTTTAGTTATCAGAATCAACACATTCACACGACAAGAATTCAAAGATGTGAAGTTTCCTAAGGGTTTGACAGCCTCTCGAAGATAAGTACAGACGTCTCCGTACCGATCCGCAAGACTCTACTAAACCTGCTCATGACTCGTGAGACCTATGTAACCTAGGATCTGATACCAATTTGTCACGATCCAAAACCTAACCCGTCGTGATGGCGCCTATCGTGGTACTAGGAAAGCCTACATTTTCAAAATACTTTCAATATTTAACAGAAATGAATTAAGACATTTAAAATAACCGGAGCTTTTCAAAAAAACGGGGTAAACCCAAATCATAAGTGCGAAAAATAGCCCGACATCGGGGTGTTACTGAGTCATGAGAATCTAAACAACCAATCTAGAAATAGTGTCTACAAGGGGCTGTGTCAAAACACCAATACAGAAAAGGAAAGATAACAAGAAAGGAGAGACAAGGGCTGCGAACGCCGGCGGCTACCTCGTAAGTCTCCGATACTCAACCACGCATGAGATCAACGTCCACCGTGTCTAGAAACACCTGGATCTGCACACGAGGCGCAGTGAGTAACGTGAGTACATCCAACTCAGTAAGTAACAATAATAAATAAGGAACTGAAAGATAGTGACGAGCTACACAGTTATAGTTCATTTTCAGTAATCTCAGCAAGAAGTAGACATGCTTTCGAATCCGACAATTTAAGTCAATCCAGTTTTATACAGTTTCAAGTTCAAGTAAAAATCGAATATAGAATCTTCCAAAGATTTCAGAACAATGACAGATAGAAACTAAGTGCATGAACAAATGAAAGCAAGTACAGCCTCTCAGGGCAACAATCACTCAACTCTTCTTAACAGCTCAATCACTCGGCTCCCAGCCCTCAACACTCACAGTCAATAGGTGTCTGCGCTCACTGGGGGTGTACAGACTTCGGAGGGGCTCCTACAGCCCAAGCACTATAATTCGCACGGACAACTCGCCTGCTACAGTATCATATCAGGATCCGCACGGACAACTCGTATGCTATGGTATCAATATCTCACTGTCAGGCCCTCAGTCTCGCTCAGTCATCAACCTCTCTAGTCTCACGGGCTCTCAGAAATCAGGAAAATCAGCCCAAACAACAATAACATGATATATCAATAATAATAATAAAGACTGAGATATAATGTGCGAGTAAAAACTGAGACTGAGTACAAATAGCATTTAGCAGGCAATTCAATATATAACGCGGCCTCTGTGGGACCCAACAAAACCAACACATAGCCTAAACATGGTTTCTAACATGATTTACAATCGAATTTCTACAACACATAGAGAGCATATAGCTAACAACAAGTTATTCAACTTTAGAGTTTCAAGGGGCGGACAAGGTCACAATCCCCTCGGTGCACGCCCACACGCCCGTCACATCCAAAATAATCACATGACACAAAATCCAGGGTTTCATACCCTCAGGACCAAATTTATAACTGTTACTTACCTCAATCCGAGCAAAACGCTACTCCAAAATGCCTTTGCCTTGCGAGTCGGCCTCTGAATGTCCCGAATCTAGCCCCAAGTAATACAATACAATCAATATAGGCTAAAGGGATCAATTCCACAAGAAAAGTACTAAATTATAGCCAAAAATCCGAAATCGGCCCGAACCTGGCCCCCGGTCCCACATCTCGAAATCCGACAAAAGTCACCAAATCCGACAACACATTTAATTACGAGTCCAACCATACTAGTAATACTGTGATTATAACATACAAATTTATTATATGGCAAACTATAATGCAAAAATACACTTTTATTATTTCTTTCTTGTTTTCATTTAATTTAAAAAAAAATAACTTTGTTAAAAAAGATTAAAAAATAATGTAAATAAAATTTATTTTGCTTTTAACAAGAAGATTTATAATTAAATAGATATTTATGATATATTTAAGGCTATAAATTTTAAAAGATTTATAACAAATTATATGACATGTTTAGAGTAACTTATTATTATAAGCAAACACCAAAAAGATAAGCTAAAGATTGCAGCTTACATTTACCCACGTCTGTTGTCCCTTATTGTGTCGGAGGTTTAAATACTCAATTACGTGCTCGAGTCTGTCTGAAACTGAAAATCCGTCAATTACCGGAAGACCAGCTGACCAAAGCGATTTGCCGGAGTGTCTATTTTGAGAAGGAAAAGTAAATTAAAACATGAGTATTTGGGTACTTCATCTGCTGCCTAATTGTCTCGCCTATCCTCAATTGCAATTACAAACCAGGAGGAAGCAAATTCCTTCTATTTGGAGAAAACCCATCTTGAAATCTTTCCCATTTTTAGCCTCTGCTTCTTCTGCTTCTTTTCCACCTGCTGAATATCCAGGTAAATAGCTCTAATATCTTTCACCATTTTAACTTATTAGTTGATTCAAGTCAGTTAGATACTCAATCATATTCTGAGATGAAACATTCTTTTCTATCCTTTTCTCTTAGTACTACTCTTTTATTTCGTATGACATTGTTTGATTCTTGGAGATGAACTTTACTTGTCTCTTGGTTTTCTTCCATTAGTGTAACTGTGTGTCTATCCACGTATGGTAGACCCTTTTACTGCCCAACAAATAAATCTCTTGTAAGCTTATGCAAAAAAAAGACAAAAATTACTTCACGGTGTCGATTAGTTCTTCTGAAATAATCGAAAAAGTATTAGGAACTATATAAAAGTACTAATGTCAATTTGTTAAGTTGAAAGTATTTTAAAATAATTTGAATTCGTTTTTGTTAGAATATACTATAAGCCATGCGTATTGTTATAGTATTCTTTATGAACAATTATTTATTTACTTGTTTAAATTCAATAAAGTTTCATTTTTTAATAGATCATGTGTTGGTTTGTGTGTCCATTGCTTACATAGTAGATGATTTAGTGTATAGAGTTTAGCTTATACACGGAAGATTACATCATCGGTTCTTGTAAGACGTAAAAGTTAATGTTCGCAATCTAATGATGGAATTGGACAAATCATCGGAATGATTGTAGCACAAGATTAAATATAATTTATCTTGATTATGGGAATGGTTTAATTCCAACTTCTTGTGCTAGTACATTTTGTATGTATTGAACGGATCAAGTAGAGATAAGTATTTTATACTGACTTTTATAAAATAATTTCTCTAGTCCATTTAATGTACTTATACTCTCAATCCTGATATAATTATTATTAGCTGTGTATGTCACTTGTTGTTTTGATTTATTAAAAGGCGAGATTCTTTCGCGAGTCAATAAGCCTGGTAAATTGGATAACAATGATATACATTGGCGAAGTAATAATTAGTTGATGGAATCCATGTCTCGGTTTTGAGATTGATGATACTCCTTTATGAAAGCTTATAAGTTTTCATGTGTAAACCCGGCCGGTGGATTTTGTATTCGACACATGAAATAAGTTAAGTGTAAGTCTAAAGGAAGTAATCAATAAATTAAATAGTCAGTAATTTAATTTGATTGATTAGTATCTGAATCTTAACATGGGGAGTTAAATAAGGTTTTATGGAAGAATTTCGAAATTGAACTAAGGAGTGCAATTACGAATTTTTAGTGGAATAATTCGTAGTTTATTATGATGGAAATTAATTTCAGAATTTCGAAATTAATATCATAACAGGAAGCCTTGTTAATTAAATTCTGTGGTCCCTACTGTGCCGAAATAATAGGAAATAGTGAAAACTGTTACTTAGTGGGAAAGAAAACATGTAAACCGTCCCTTAGTGGGAGAAGGAAACCTAACAGGTTTTGGAAACGGTTTTGACCTAAAAAACGCAGCTATATATATATATATATAGGGGCTGGACGTTTTTTTTTGAATTATTCTTACTGCGGGTTCTGCTAGAATTTTGCCCATCCAAAATTCTCTATTTTCGGTTATTGTTTGGGTAACACAGTAGAAGACTGTGGAAATCTGCTGGTGCGTTTTCAACTAAGGAACTGGAAAACGACATAGATTTGCTGTGTTTACGCTTCAAGAGGTAATCCGAAAATCTCCGTATGTGGTAGTTGTTTAGATTACACGTGAATAAGATACTGGGATTGCTTCCGCTGTTTATTATAATCCATCAGTTTTACCCGTAATGGGTATTGGTATATACCAGATTTCGTTCTTACATTAGCGGTTCACAAGTTGAAGTTGTTCTGTCTAGATAATTTTGATGACCGGAATTATAAAACTAAAAAAGAAAAAAAACGATGTTTGTTTTACAAAACATTCTTGGACAATGGAAAAAAAAAATCTCATGTTCGATATGAGGTTGAAGCCAAACTCCTTGGGAAGATAGCGGTAGCGATTATGGTGAGATCCGATGCAGATCCAACTTTCGACTCACTTGTGGGATCCAGGCAGTCAAGGGGGGCCACAACGGCTCCTCTCATCTCGAGAATCCATACATATTGTTGTCAAAGAAAAAGTATTTGACTTTTCTAATAGTAGTAGCATCATTCCTTTTCCGCTGGAGAGAATACACACATGTGTACGTGTGTGTGTATATATATATAGTGCTCTATAGTGCAAATTAACTTTCAGCAATTGAATGCTTGTTTGCCAATCTATTTCCTCCTGAGAAGTCAACTAAAAAAAATGTAAGAGTAATATCAAGTCTGTTATTAGAGGCTAAGCAATGCTGGAGAACTGCTAACGCTAAATGGAACATGTGGGAGTTCAATCAGATTTTTGTTGGTATTTAGAAGCAGCTGAGAAAATTGATAAAGCTGGGAGTCTTTGTTCTTTTCATCTTATCCGTCTCTTTATTTTTCTAAGTTAATCCAGAACAACTACCTGAGACAAGGCCAAAGCGGAAAAAGCAGATAGCAGGAATAGATCAAGATGAATTACAAGATCCAGCTCTTCTAGCAGATCCTGATAGTTGCTTTTGCGAGTTTAAAGGAGTACAGATACACCACAAGATATATGATTCAGAATCACTTGCTACAAACTTGTCAGAAGAAGGGGATAGTTCTCGATCTCCTAATGCCAATAAGAAAGTGAACATTCCCATGATATTGTTACATGGATTTGGTGCCTCTATTTATTCATGGAACCGAGTTATGAAGCCATTGGCACAGGTCACAGGATCAAAAATTTTGGCCTTTGATAGACCAGCCTTTGGGTTGACTTCAAGGCTGAATCATGTCAACCATTCATCTCAGGGAAGTGAAGACACCAGACCCCTTAATCCTTACTCTATGGTATTTTCCGTGCTGGCTACTCTATACTTCATTGACTTCTTAGCAACTGAGAAGGCAATTCTAGTGGGGTAAGTTCTAATTTATAGTTTTTCCCCAACAATCTCCGTCATGAACATGTTATGGATGTGACTCTATTTAGCTTGAAATAATTGCAGTGAAAACTGAATTAGCTTCCTTATTGTTCTATATTAGTTTCACTAGCTCAGTTGCCAAAATAATGATCCATCTGCTACACCACAAATGAAAGAAGTATAAAAGGAAGGAAAGGTGAAAATGATGTTGTGGAAAATCAGACATGTGTTCCCAAATGAATGACTGGCCTACTCTCCAATGAACTTTTAAATGATCAGAAGTTATTATTCTCTATCATTATCTTCATTGCCCTCCCCCTCCCATCTGTCTCTGCAACTATTACAAAGTGTATTTACTTGGTCAAACGAAGTAGATACATGATTTCCATTGAGAGGATAATGTACTTCAAATTGTCATTTTGGTTGCATTATCGCCCTCCTTCCTTTGCTCTTCCTATTTCATTCTCAAAGATTTGATTCTTATTGGTAACTAATGAGACACCAGACACTCAGCTGGTTCCCTTGTAGCAGTTGAAGCATATTTTGAAGCACCTGAGCGGGTTGCTGCCATTATACTTGTTGGGCCAGCAATTCTAGCACCCCTGAATTCAGGGCCTGTAGCTAAGGACAATCCAAGTGGAAAAAGTAACCAGACTGAAGGCGATGACTTGGAAGTGAACTCTAATGGGAATTGGTTTACCACGGTTGTCAGCATTTTGTCAAAGTTATCCCAATATCTTGGACGAGCAATAATGCGATTGGTGAAAGGGATGGGAGACATGATAAATTATTTATATAAGAAAGCTTTATCTACGTTCTTGCGTTCTACCATTGGTATTATGTTGGTATGTACTCTTTTTTGGATCTTTCTAATCTATTTGTTGAACCCAAATTATTTTCTCAAAATTGACATCTTGAAGCTTTGTGAAAGCAAAATTAGGTCTATATACTTCATTTTTCCAATTTCGAAAAAGGTTTTTAAATGAGAAATCCTCCCTGCCATTTTGAAGGAAGATGGCAGTCGAACAAGAAGGGATGCTAATTCAGTTTTCACTAATAATACTAACAAAGAACAGAATAATAAAAAAGTAGTAAAATTAGAACTTCCCACCAACCCCAAACCCATCTTCCACCACCCCAACCCCCCACCCTACCCCCAAACCCTTAGAGTACTTACTTTTCATGTTGTAGATAAATTATTTTGTTTTTCATTTCAACAAAATGAATATTTTCTTTTTATGATGTAAAAAAAGTATTTTTTTTTATTTCAACAAAATAAGTACTTTCTTTTCATGATGTAGAAAAAGTATTTTCTTTTTCACAAGATTAGTACTTTCTTTTCATGTTGTATAAAAAGTATTTTCTTTTATTTTAACAAAAAGAGTACTTTCTTTTCGTATTATAGATTTTGAACATTTTGAATAAAGTTAAGGTGGCCAATAGGTCATGAGCTCAGTTAAAGTGTTTAAGTGAAATATATGGGCAAGTTTAAGGGGCTGCCTGTGTATTCAGCCTTACTCCTTTGATCTTTCTGAAATTTCATTTGATGATAAATTTGAGATATTTATGTTATCAGAATAGATGGAAGAAGTCTTAGCAGTTCTTATTAGTCATTTGCAACATATGCAATAATGAGAAAATACTCGATCAGCACTCTATAAAACTTGATTGAAATAAATACTCAAAATGACTATTGACTGCCATTTTCTTTCAGGTAAGAATGATAATTGATAAGTTTGGCTTAGCTGCTGTTAGGAATTCTTGGTATGATCCTAAACAAGTTGATGATCATGTCTTGCAAGGGTATACAAAGGTGATTCCTTGACAGCTAGTTATTCCCAACCTGAGGATGGGCTCGATTTTTTTCTTTTTGCTGTATTTGGTTCAGGTATGGGACCTCGCTTCTTAGTGCATTGTTGCCATCTTGACTCTTTAACATTTGCAGCCTCTCAGAGCAAAAGATTGGGATAGGGCTCTGGTGGAGTATACCGTGGCTATGCTTACAGATTCTGCATCTGAATCAAAGCCACCACTGTCAAAGAGACTGCGCGAAATATCATGTCCTGGTTAGAAAATCATCTATGTGCCAGCAAATCGAATTTGATAACTAGAAGGAAACATTAGATTTCTAAATAATTAATTGAAAAAGTAAGCAAGATTTCAAGTTATTATGAAGTATTAAAAACGACATATAACCAACATCTCTTGACTACCAAATAACCTTTGATTGCACCATTTTCTCTAAGCTACGCCCCAACTAATACTGAAAAAGTGCTCGTCATATGAGCCTTTGTTCCAACATGTTCTTTTTACATTCTTAGTGTTGTTATAACACCATGTTCTAAGAAACATATTGTCTTAAACGTACATGATAAACAACGACTCCAGTTACACAATGAATACACAAAAAAAACTTCCTAATGCTGTTTTTTCTCTTTTATGTGCAAATTGAGGTTCAGTTCTGATTGTCACTGGTGATAGCGATCGGCTTGTTCCACCATGGAACTCTGAAAGACTTTCACGGGCCATTCCTGGATCTTGTCTTGAAATAATCAAGAATTGTGGCCACTTGCCCCATGAAGAAAAGGTGGAAGAATTTGTATCCATTGTTGACAGATTCCTTGAAAGAGTTTTTGGGCTGCGAAAAGAGCCTCATCTGCAACCAGCAACATGAGACTGATATTTTTTCTAGTTCAACTTGGCCAGGATTGACTCATATTGGTGACTGGTGAACTTTAAGTTTGAGACAAGAGTTGCCTACTCAAGGTCATATAGAATTTAAAGGAAAACTTTATAGCTCTTTGTCAATGTTATCAATCCTATGAACACCTATAGGTAGCTGCTAATTTGTGCAGGTAAACATCTATTTCTTGATCATCCTTGAGACTATGACAAAGTACTATGATGTAATACAATACATGTATATTGAGACTTGTAAAATTGTACTTCAGTTTATTCCATAGTAGCTGAAACCTCTGCAGCTTTACAAGAAGCCCGTGATTTGCAGCTACAAACTGAAACTTTGCAGATATTAGCAGTGCGGAAAGCATATTAATTTTACAATATCTCATTGTATGCATCATAAGAAAATAGATGGTATTCCATCTTCAGAAAGGGGGATCAAGAGATATGGTGAGAGAGGGATCCGGTAAACCACGAGGAATATCAAAACCAGACATGAAATCCTCTCCAAATATCACAGCACCAGCTGCTAATGCCCCAGCACCTACTCCCATTCCAAAACCAGGTCTTGCATTTCGTGCTGCTGCAGTTCCACTTTGTGGCATGCTTAAGTAACTAGACGGCGTGTTGTCTGTTCTTGGGAGGAAAGTTGGAATGTAACCAACATTAGCAGGTGGAGGTGGTGGTGGTGGAGCACGATGTGGCTGATAGCTCGGTCCTGCTGCTGGTGCGTAGCTCGTTCCTCCCACCGATGGGTCGGAATAATTTATAGCATACGGTACTTGACGTGCATATTGGTGATTTGGCTGTGGTTGGTTTCCTTGCAGTTGAGCGGGGGTCAAGGATTGTGGTTGTGGGTATGCTGGTGCAGGTTTATATCCATTAGCCAAGTTGAAGCCACCGCTGTTATCTGCAAGCTTAAATCCCTCATTGTCACCTAGTAAATCTGATGTCATCACAATAACTCTTCAGTCAAAACTCATAAGATTGGTCCAAAGCATTACTTGAATCAAGGGTCTTTTTCATTGATTCTAAGGGAGCAAAGACAGTCTATTCATGACCTTAATGTGAAAAGCTTGTTAAATATTTATACCTGGGAGTGAACTTGGTTCTTCTCTTTCCTCTGAAATTCGTATCGATACATCAACAAACCCCTGAGGTTTATTCGAGTTCTTTCTCCGCAGTTGAAAGCTCCCCACCTCTTCAACAGGCTTTGAAATCTCAGAGTTGTTATTGTACTTGTCCAGAAATTCTTTCAAAATCACAGTAGCTGTTCCCAGGAGCTTTTCTCTAAGAAAAATGGGCTCTCTACTGTAAACTTCAACATGGAGAGCATCTAATTCAGAAGTGTCAACTAACATTGAAAATTTGGTTTTCCAAACAGGATTTGCATTGCCTGAAGAATCAATCTTGGAACAGTACTTGTTGTTTGGATCAATCCATCCAACAGCATACCATTGCAGCTTCCACAAAGATGATATTGTTCGTCGTAGCCCCCTGGCGGAAATCAGGCAGACTTCAATCCATATTTTCCCCATTTCAGGCAAAGCTTTTTGCTTGATTGATACAAATGGTGACAGAATATGTGCTCCTCAAAGGTTCTTTCCTTGATTACAAAAAGAAAAAAGTATACAGTTTTGCATCATAATAAGGCTACCTTACTTTTATGATAAGAAAATACTTTACATTATTTTGAGTTCTGTTAAGAATAATCTAGGTAGCTTTTCCCCGTATTGTGACTCACAAGTCTATCAAAGGGGGACGGGAATCAGAATGTTAGTCAAAAAAGTTTGCAACATAACAGTGTTGAAAAATGAACTCGGGGTCCACTAGAAAGTAATTTATCCACAGATTTATGTCTGCAATTACAACAATATTTCACGAAAACCGATGGATATTCATATATGTTTTAAAGAAATGAAAAGTTGGTCAAACGGCGCTGACCAGATCCTCACGCCCGTCCTCGACGACGCTTGCTTTTTTTTTTTTCTTTTTCCGCCCTGTATGCATACGTAAGAAAGCCAGATAAAGGTCAAAAGTAATTAGAAGAAATATCACAATAAAAATCAAAACTCACTCGTATTACTGTAATCTTCTACCTATTACTACTATATTGCAATTTTGATGTTTAATTGTCTTCTTTTCCGTGCAAATTAATTATTAAAAGAAAAAAAGAAAGTAGAATAGGGCGGGCGTAACATAGAGCGTATTAATTTACCCTTATTACTGAATCTTCTATTCATTAAGTACGATTTTCATCAAGTTCTTCTAGTCTGGTACGCAAATTAAAGAAACTAGATCTTCTTTGCTCGTGATTTTCTTACAACAATGTCAATAAGAAGTTATTACATTGTCTAAGAATGAATAAGAAGCTGGAGTTTTCATTCATATAATACAACTGAAGTTGTTTAAGTAGAAACAAGGGAAGGAGAAATGTTCTGTTTGTTGGTTCTAATTTCTACGGGGTTTGTTTTAGAAGCGGTTAATTTTGTTGTGATTATGCAACTAATTTCGGTTAATACTAGGCGCAATATCGCAACTTATAGAGATCAAAACAACTGGAATTGGGCAGAAATACCTTTTCATCTTACAGATTCTATTAAAAACAAACTAAATAGGATTAATGTACCTATCTACACAAACAAAGTAGACACTATCTTTGAGCAAACTACCCTCTATAGCCCCTCAAAATTTTAATAGCCCATGTTTTGTACCACTTACAAAAAATGGCCCTTCGGCCCAAACATATTGGATATAGAAGCCGAAAAGAATTAGCATGACAACATAAGTGTCTGTAGCTCAGTGGATAGGGCGTGTATTTCCTATGCTGAAGGTCGCAGGTTCGACCCCTACCTGGTGCGATAGAGCAACCCTTTTTAAATTGTATTTTGTACTTCTGGATCTAATAATATTAGCTAAGAATTGAATGAAATATGTAATGCATGTCATATACGAAATGTCTATTTTGTATATTTTTTGTATAATAACAGTCTATTTTTGTATATTTTTTGCATAGTGATAGTCTATTTTGTATATTTTTTGTATAGTAACAGTCTATTTTGTATAGTGACAGTCTATTTTGTATATTTTTTGTATAGTAACAGTCTATTTTGTATATTTTTGTATAGTGACAATCTATTTTGTATATATTTTGTATAGTGACAGTTTATTTTGTATATTTTCTGAATAATGATAGTCTATTTTTGTATATCTATTGTATATAAATTGTATAATGATAGTCTATTTTGTATAATATTTGTATAGTGACAGTCTATTTTGTATATATTTTAACTTTATGCATAGTTATCTCCTCTCATCTTCCTCTCATTAAGAGACCGGCCACCGACATCCATGGCCTCACAGTTGCCGAAAATTGCAACAAGATCGCCGGAGTTTTAAAGTTTCAGGCAAAGATCTTCAAAATATTAATTTCATATTCACAGAAACTATAAGAGAAAATCAGAGAAAGAAGACAAGGCCATGAGAGTCGTGGTTGGCGGAGTTGCTTCTTTAACGACGAGGACACCGGCATCCATGGCCTCACAGTCGCCAAAAATGGTAACCACAATATTATAAAAACCGTAAAAATTGTGAATCAATCAATTAATTATGTTACAAAACACAAACTAATGGAGATTTAGAAAAACCAGCACAAAATTAAAATTGAAAAAAAAAGCACAGATCATCAGATCCAACATAGTATTCTTCAAAATACAACATTCTCATAGCTCATCAGCATTTCAAATGTGTGGTCTGCAACACGATGCATGCTTTCTTATCCATAATAGATCTGGGATCATAAGTTTGTGATGACAATAAATTGGGGTCATAGCATATTTGTATTCAAAATCCAGATATAGCCCAAAATCATGAATTGCAAACAAGAATTAAAATATAAGATGAAAATTACAATGTCTTTCAGATTTTCGAGAACCGAATAAAGGATCCAAACCCCGAAATACAAGAAAAGGGAGACGAGAGAAACCAAAGAGGCTTTTTAAAGAGAGAGAGAGAGAGAGAGAGAGAGAGAGAGAGAGAGAGAGAGAGAGAAAAGCGTCCATGGAACCACAGCCATGGGTTGCTGGCGTGAGAGAGAAGAAGAAAGATAGTAAGGAAGAAAGATAGGGATGGGAGGCGACGGCTACCAGTTGTTATTGTTTTTAGGCTATGAATTGTATGGGTCAATTTGTGGCTATCGGATGATATATGTTTGGCCCGGTGGACTACAAATGATATTTGCTCACTATCTTTTGGGGACTATCAAATTATGGCGAATTCACTGTCAAATCTATGTATTCAAAATTACTACATGACGAATTAAACTCACAGGAACACGCAACTCCTTACAATTGGATTTGAAAGATTCCAATACCACCCAAAATAAAAATATTTCTTTGGCTTATAATGCATGACAGATTACCAACAACAAAATACCTAAACCACATAGGAGTGACATTAGATGACATCTTTTTGATTGGTACCGCAGTCGCCCTTTGGTTGGGCATTGGTGCAACATTACCTATTGATAAATGTGTTCCGGTCGGGGGAGCGACTCTGGGACGAATTTTTAACGTGCTCGGAGAGCCTGTTGATAATTTAGGGCCTGTAGATACTAGTACAACGTCTCCTATTCATAGATCTGCGCCCGCCTTTATACAGTTGGATAAGTCGACCGCTAGAACTACTGATTTTAAAGCCCAATGTCAAATATGTCACGCACATCCTGAAACTAACAATCACCTCTTTCTACAATGTCCTAACACAATACATATATGGCATGACTTGGGAATAACACACATTACCAACACTACACTTACACATTCTCATCCATCACACTGGTTAATGAAACTCATTAACAAAAAGCACAACCGTATGCCACACCATATAAATGCTCAAACTTATATATCATACACATTATGGCACATTTGGCTCAATCGTAACAATAATATTTTTAACAATATAAAACAATGACTTTCAATTAATATAATTACTAAAAATGCATTGGAATTTACATATTTCGCTGCCAACATACCATTAACAAAAAATTATATACTGCAAAATATTAAATGGATACCCCCTAAACCAAATTACTATAAATTAAATACAGACGGGGCAGCTTCGACGTCAACTCACAAAGCAGGTATAGGGGGTGCCATACGAGACTGCAATGGACACTGGATTGTAGGGTTTGCCGGCAATTTAGACAATGCCAACACCATCCAAGTAGAACTTAAGGCTCTATTCCATGGATTGGAATTGGCGAACACATGCAACTTGGTTCCACTGGAAATAAACATTGATGCTCTAGAGGTACTAAAAATCTTGCAAAATGATAACATCGTTTATAGTAACATATAACCGACTGCAGGTACCTCCTGGACCAACTGAATAGTGCAACCATGGCACATACCTACAGGGAGGGGAAGGAGGTGGCTGATGGTTTAGCTAAAGCAGGATGCAATTTGCCCTCTACAGATAAACCATTTATTTTTGAAGAACCACCGGATTTTGTCAGCACTTTTTTGCAAAGGGACCAAACTGGAGCAGCTCGTACTAGGAAGACAACATGCTTGATGCAACACCAACTGGAAGACGTAGATCAGCATATTTTTAATACCCATTCCAATGATCTGCGCATGACAGTTTCTAATAGCAATATTGTAATGGATAATTATAATAGCATAACCAGTAGTAGTATTTCTATTAGTCGTCTATCAAACAACTATAATACAGATGCATGCGCATCCCCCTCTATGTAGTTCCTCTACTTATGTTTAAAGCAATTTATCTTTCTCACCAAAAAAAGAATATGATCACTTTTGGAACCCCCAATTTGAGTTTTTACAAATATAAAAATTAAACTCATTGGTTATCCATTTTTTAAGTGGATAATATGAATCTTATTCATATTTGACTCATTTCTAAGATGTTCATTATTCAATCTATTTTTTAGTGGATAATATGGATGAATAACTATAATTTTTTACCACCACTAGTCTATGTATGATTTTTTTTATTTACTGTGAAAATTTACATAGATTCAAAAGGTTTTAGCTTCCAGCTTCTCCACTTTTTCTTGTGTTCAACAATGTCTTGCTCCTCTTGACAAGAATATCTCTATTTTAGAAAGTAAAAAGGATATTTAGGTAACTAATTAAAACCAAAAAGACCAACTGAGATATAAACTTGTGGCTATTTACAAGCACCCGAAACTCCATTCTCAAATCTCTCTGGCTTAAATTCATTGGCATGTCGTCCCCATATCTTAGGGTCACGATGCAGTGTTGGGATCAAAGTCCACAAGCATACACCTTTTGGCACTACAATGTGACCAATCTGTGTATCTTCCAATGCCTCCCTTGACACAAATGCTGCTGGCGGATACAAACGCATCGCTTCTTGAATAACCATTGTCACCTTCATATCAAGTTCTAGTATTAGATGCAAATCAAAATTTTAGAGGACTTTAACTTTTATGCACGTCACCTAAAAGTAACTACAGGTAACTGTCCATTTATAACAAGTGAGACTTAGTAACCTGAAATACATCGATATTGTAAAAATTCTTTATGCAGTCAGTATATACAATTTCAAATGATTTTAGAATGATACAGAAACAACACTTCTTGAATGACCATTGTCACCTTCATATCAAGTGTAATTATTATATGCTAATCGTTGAGACATAAAAGTAATTAAAACTGCAGCCTCTCTAACGGTTTAAGTTTTTAGACCAGATGGTCACACAGTTCAATACAGATTAGTAATTTAGAATGATATGGTTGAGTAGTGAAGGATAAATGTGATGAGTACCATTTTCATTTTGGAGACTGACTCTGCATCTAGGACGCCATCGGAGCAAATTTGAGCCATTCCGTCACGTATACGAGATTGCCATTCTGGATGCAAAGCCAGAAGCATGAGACACCATGATGCAGCAACAACAGTGGACTCATGACCTGCAAAGTATATGTTCTTGCAATTGTCAACTATGAATTTCCTAGATGAATTCTCACCTACACTATCGTCGTTGATAGCTCCCTCGAGTATCGAATGCAACAAGTCTTTCTCATTTGAGGATGTCTCTAAGCATTCCCTTTCTCTTTCTTTCACTACTTCCCATATCAATGACTCTATCTCTTTCACTAAGTTCTCAATCTCCTTTCGCTGCCTACTTGGTAGAAACCTATAACATAGTCCAAATCCCAAATATTTGACGTTTTAGAAAAACACAAACTCGTTTAAGACATATGAAAATCTTAAAAGGCAGATAATATGGACGAGAGAGAGAAGGTATGTACCCTAATGTGGGAGAACCAAAGAGGACACTTTGGTTTGATATGATTTTCTAAAGGGTTCGAAGCTTTGAGAAAATCTT